CACACACCCCTAATGTAGCCAATCCTAATGAGTTTCTGCTGTTGGGTGTGGCCTATTATGCTAATGAGTTCCTGCTGGGCGTGGCCAACTCAGGAGCCAGCCGGAACTCCGTTCCTGTGCGTTCCTGCCCAAAAATTGCCCTGATTATGACACAAGGAAAATTCTTACACAATATAAGTTGATTTGCTTCTGATGAAGTTATGATAGGAAAACAAGCAAAAGCCGGCTGCTTTGTAGTGATACTTTGACTGTATGATATTTGGATTGTTATTTGACTGTATGATACCTGAATTGTTATAAAAGTTCCACAATTCTTTGGTTGTCAGCAGTAACTTGTGTACTGTTTGAGACTACTGTAATGTTTGTATATCATTGAGATATTGTATAGCTTTGGCTTGTATGCCTTGTTGATATTTTGTATACTTAGAAATAATTTTCAAGTATAAAAGTGATTGTATCAGCATACATACTTAAGTGTTTGAGTGGATTCATCACATTGTTCTTGCCCCAGTCTTGCTATTTTTGAAGTCCTTATACTGGGAGGTCTGTTTTTTTTTTGGTTCAGTATTAGAGCATCTGTTTAGCATGCAGAAGGTTCCCAGTTCGACACCTGGCCTCTCCAGTTAAGGATCCAGTAGTAGGTGACATGAAAGACCTTGACCTGAGAACCAGGCTCCCAGCCTGAATAGGCAACATTGACACTGATGGACCAAGGGCCTGACTCTATCTAAAGCAGCTTCAGGAGATCACGTGAACCTGGTTGACCCAGATCCTATGCCAGCTCTCTCACCATTATGCCACACCAGCTGTCTGGTATAAGCAGTTATCTGTTGCTACTGCAGACTGTGTGTGTGTGCATTTGCAACATCAAGAACTATCCACCCCCACCCCTCACAGGCACAGCCTCGATTCTCTGCCTCAACCCAGCCTTTTGTTGGCAGGAGGAACCTGCTTCCTGGCAGGCTAGGGGAGGACAGCCATGTGCCTTGATCTATGCCGGCTCAGCAGCTGTCCTCCCCGTGTTCTTCCCTGTCATCCTCCACTCCTCTTCCTGGAGGGCATCCCCTGTGGCAGCCAGGAGTTCAAAGCTCGGCTGACGCCACCCCTCGGCAGGCCACTTCCTCTTCTTTGCCACCCAGGGGTGCACCCCGGCCATAAAGCTGCCCTGCTGGAAGCCACACCCAGGAGTGAGTGAGGTACAGTGGGGTCAGAGAGCCTCATGCCTTTAAACCCTGGTGGCCCCAAATAGGGGCTAGTTGGACGACCTCCAAGCTGCTGTGCAGGGCAGGTGAAAGACCCCTCCAGCCCAGCCTAGCCAAGCAGGGCCTCAAAGCCTCTATATCTGTGCCTTTGATTTTTTATACCTAATGTGCAAAGTGCTACACTTAGGTATAAAAAAATCAAAGGCACAAATATAGAATGGGAGGGACTTGGCTTGACAGCAACAAATGTGAAAGGGATCTAGGTGTTCTGGTTGATCACAAGGTAAACATGAGCCTGCAGTGCGATGTGACTGCGAAGAAAGCTAATGCAATCTTAGGATGCATTAACAGAAGCATTGTGTCCAGATCACGGGAGGTGGTAGTTCCACTCTATTCTGCTATGGTCAGGCATCACCTGGAGTACTGTGTCCAGTTTTGGGCACCACATTTTAGGAAGGATGTTGACAAGCTCGAGTGTGTCCAGAAGTGGGCAACCAGGATGGTGAGAGGGTTGGA